AATGCCCTACCGATTGATTTTCTTTGACAAATGGTGCCCTTCCAGCCATGTCCTGGTCATGTCTAGCCCCCCTCACTTCAGAGGCCTGCCATTCCAGGTGACAGTGAAATAGGTGACACTGTCTCTTTGCTCATAAGACCGTTCCTCACTAATGTGTCTGAATTGAACTATAATGGAAAAGGCATCTGGTCTGAAGCCTTGAGTGGCATGCCATGAATTAAAGAAAGACCAGAATGCTGATTACAAGTCAAAACAGCATGTGTCTCTTCCCACCTCCACATACTGATGCACTGAAACTCCCCTTGGCTCACAACAAGCAAAACCAGTGCCTCGTCCCCGCTGCCATCCTAAAATACCCACTGGCTCGTGCCTTTGAGATTTGCAGCATGCCCTCCAGGTGAAAAGGTTCAAGCTCTTCTGTGTGCACCGCAAAAGCTTATCACAAAGCTGCAGCCCCTGCCTGGGTGCAGAGAGAGGAGACCTGAGCCAGGCGCTTCCAGTGGCAGGAACATCCCACAGCAGCTGAATTATTAAGCAGTGAAGCTTCTTGCCCTGTCTCTGTGTTCCCAACACATGCTGTAGTGAAAGCAAAGGCAGGAAGCTCATGTGAACAGTCAGAAAGTTTTCACAGGGAAAGTTTTATACCAGCAAAATAACAACTTTCAGTGGGAAAGAATAGCAGCAGTTTTTATTCCATCTGTCCTATTGCTTACGTGTTTTTGGAAAGAAATGCTTAGTAGTAAATGACCAGACAGATAATTCGCCACTTCCCACTAATGATCTGAGCCATAGAATGGGGGAAATAAAATGAATGGACAAGGATAGCTCCCCTGGGGTAGTGTAAATCCAGTTTGAAATACAATTGAACAGACGTTCTGCGTGGTATGTTCCTGGCAGCTAAATCTATTTGTTGTTGTGACAAATAAATGACAGTTTAAGAACGATTGCAATGGCCAGATAAAAGTGTGTTGTCATTTCAGCAGTTTGAAAGAGGTGCCAGTCCTGCTTTAGAGGTGTGACTGAGACTGCATATATTTTTAAAAAATACATAAAAAGCTTTTTACCCCGTCACTAAGCAAGTCATAATAGCTTTTGACTTATGTATATTGTGCTTTCTCTTCTCTCAATCTGAACCAACAAAAAAGAGAAAGGATTGAAATGGAAATTTTGACTTCTAGCCTAAGCTTCAGTAAAGGAAAATGGCTTTATAGTAAAGTATTAACAGACCAGACAGACGGTATCTTTCTTTTTCTCTCTCTCTCTCTTTTACAGAAGGGAAACATTTCCTGGCTGTTTGTGTGGCTTTATCAGCAGCCCAAGATTTTAATTCAATTTCTCTCACTGATGACAAGACTGAGGTGTTTTTTCCCCCTCTCCAAAATGGATTTCCTATGAAATCTTCCTTTTCAAATTTATTTGCTCAGTATGGCACTTGGTCAGCTAAACCCACAGTCTCCTCCTTTCTGGCCCCCATGTCAGAGTGCTCGTTCTTAGGGAGAACAGCCCAGAATAGTTCTTCCTTGTATAACAGCTGAAAGTCAGGCACCTGGCTGTGTAAGGAGCTTGAATTTCAGAGTTGGCATGTTCTAGCAAATCTCTCTGGATTTAATAGCAGCTAGAGGTCCTCCGGCACTCCCTGAGAACTGAGGCATTTTAACCTAAAATACATGGACCCACAAGCATGTGCCTAATTTTAGGTGTGGGAGTGCTCTCGCTGAAGTGAATGATACTATCAGCCAGATAGATGCAGAAACAAGGCCTAGGGTTTGAATTTCAGATCTGCTGTGCATCAAAGTGAAGTCATAGGAAAAATGAGGATGTTCAAAATTCTGCCCAAGATCACACCAAGATGACAGAGCAAAATCCAGCTTTTGATCTGCTTTTCTTCTCTGCTCACAGTTTTCTGTATTACTGTCAATATCAGGAACTGGTAAAGGAAGCTTTAAGTTAGCCACATTGTCACTTTCTTTTCTTTTTGTTTTTGTAGGTATTTTCTTATCAGCTCACCCATATCCTGGAGGACAGAGTCAAGAACAAGTAATGTAAGAAGGTTCATTTGGCTGATGTCTGAATTGTTTAGCTTCAAAATGAGCAAACCAGCTTCTTGGAAACCATAAAACTGCCTAAATTACTGAATATCTTTCTCTAAATGATCAAAATGCTCTCTTCCTTGTCTTCATTCCCTCTACGCATGAATAGCATGCTGATTCCTGTTAGGGTTTCTTTGCAGGATCCCATATAGATCTGGAGGTCACAGTTACAGCATCACACATTTTTGTGCTTTGGCACAATAATAATAATTACATAATTTTCCTTTTGGCCTTTCTAATCAATTCCACGGTACGGTATTACAACTCAGTGCTGTGAGTCCTTTTTGCTAGGCATACTTAATATCAGCAAAAGATGCTGGCACAGAATCAGGACCTCTCTGCTTCTGAGCTCTAAACAATGCCTCTGCAATGAGGGAAATCTGCTACTTTGACTCACCGTATACGTCTTTCTCCACTTTCTCCCCAGGCTCAACAGCTTACTCGACATCATAGTTTCAATGTCTGTTTTGGTTGGCTATTCTATCACAACATCAAGCTTTGTGCTCTATGTGGTGAAAGAACATCAAACTAAAGCCAAACAACTGCAGCATATTTCAGGCATTGGAATGACAAGCTATTGGGTGACTAACTTCGTTTATGATCTGGTAAATAATTCACATTTCTAAATGCACCAAGAGTAGCATTATGCAGCAGGGGAAAAAAGTTCTTTAAATAAAGTTGGTTGCCTAGACTTCTTAATATTATTACTACCAAGAGCGTTATGTGGTAGTTGTTCTCTAAGGCATTGAAGACTATTAAATGTGAACCGCAACACTGGATTTTGCTAAGCGAAGGCATTCCTTCTCTCTCGAGTGTATGCAAAACACTCAGCACATTTATACGAGAGCAACACAGAACAGGCCAGAGCTTGATTTCAATTTTACCATGCAAGCAGCAAGCTGCTTTTCTGTTAGCTTGCAGGGCTAGATTAGTTGTCATGCAGTCTTTACACATCTGGGGTAAGGCTTTGGGACTTGAGGCTACAGCCATTTTGGAAACCCTGGGAGTACAGGGTATGACATTAGCAGACATCTCACAGCTGACACTCCCCTGCTGGGCAAAAATCCATTGCTGGGTTGAATGCCCTCTTTAAGATTATCTATTATAAAGGTTTTTCAGCCAAGGAAAGCTACTAACGCAGCTATATGCCTTCCAGGACCTGAGCAAGTTCCTTTCTATAGTGCTGCACTGCGCTGTATAGATTTACCACCTTGTTTCTATAGATAGTTGAGCTCCGCAGCACTGTGCTGCATTATGTGGCGTAGGCAAGCCCTTGTTCTCCCTGAAGTTGAGTTTCCTCATGGTAAAGAGGGTTAATAGCACTGCTGGAAAGCATCGCTGGGCTAGGAAGATAAATATGCATAGTGTCTGTAGACACTGTGCTTTGTGTCTTATGAATTACCTTTGGTGCACAATGTCAAACCTTCACATAGATAGAGATCTGCAAGTGCAGACTATCTCTCCTCATGAGCTTTGGCATTGCCAGCTATGCTGTAGTGTGATCAGCTCTACATATCTGACAAATTTCTATTGATGCAGTTCTGCTAATGCCTCAAATCTCAGTGATATCATCAATTCCTGAAAATACGAAATCTTCAAGGGCATTTGGGTGGCCAGCCCCCTTTGATACAGTGAGGACTACAGGCTGAAATCCCTTGGGGAATGTGAGCCTTGACTCTTTCTACAGAGCACAGCCTGAGCTGCTAGGTAACACTGATGCACACTAAGAAAGCAGTCCTAAGGATACAGTTCTTGCCACTAAGTAGTCTAAACTGCCTGCTTATAGGGGCTGGTGTGATTAGGCAACAACACAAGTATCTCCTGCCTTGCTGGAAGGGTTTGAAAGGCGTCTGAAGGCAGCATGGCTGCAGTCTGGCTTGGCAGAGCAGCCCAAGGGTTAGGATGGGGCAGGCCTGTGTCTGCTTCCCTGATCCAGGCCCTCGCTCTAGTGCTGCATATTGGCAAATCAGTAGAAAAATCCCCAGAGTCCTTGCCACAATCAGTATTCAGCGGGCTGAAACTAATCAAGCACTCTCGGCAACTTGATATTTCTCAGTGAATCCCTGCCAGTAAATTCTGTTAAATCCCAAAGCTGGGAAAGAGAGGAACCTCTCAAGGCAGATGTTTGGTAGGTCCCTGGCTTGACTCAACATTATAAAGAATAGATTTACAGGACACAATGAAGTGGTCCGACTGCAAGGCTAACAGAAAACCCAAAGGGGTATTTTTCATTCACAGCCTTTTTTTTTAAGGCATTTTCTGCCCACAGTCCTGAATGTTGAGGCTTAGCCTATTCAAAGTGGCTTTGTGGGAATTTGTTTGCAAGATTCCTGAAAGTCTCAGGAGGACTGAGACCCCACCTGTATTTGGTTTCCCTTAGAAAACCCAAGCTGCACTTGTGGGACCAGATTCAGGCCTGGTGGTGTTGCTTCTGCATAGTTCTAGAAAAATGTTTAAGAATTATCATCCTAATAACATCTTTTCAATATCATTTTGCAGGTACTTTTTATGGTCCCTATTGGACTCTCAATAGCAGTTATTTCATCCTTCCAGATACCAGCTTTCTGCAACAACAATAATTTACTAGCAGTATTTCTTCTGCTGTTACTGTTTGGGTAAGCATGGAGCTTAGTTATTTAAATATCATTGCACAGAGTGAGGAACTGGATATTGTAGGCTCCTGCAATTTGAGGTCCAAGGGAGGAATACATGGGCTTTGTTCTTCAGTGTGCACTTTACAAATGGTGACTAGTTGCTGTTTCCAAGAGCAGTAAGCTAAACTACTGTTGTCATGCCTGCTTTATTCAAACCAAACTCTGTACGAGGGTATGAAATATTCAAGGTCACAGTGACAGCCCAAGCTGTAAGCAGATGCTTACTGAACTATTGCAAGGTTTGAGATATAGAAGCATTTCAAAATCAGAGAGAAAAAAAAAAAAAGAAACAGCAGCACAATTCAGGAAAACTTAGCAAAACTGTCTCCCTGGCTTTGAATCCTCCAGGCCCAGTCTGTCTGCTTTCAGTTGGGGGTCCATGTTCAAAGTCTGTATTGTAAGCTTTTTCTCCAAATTCTAACAGATAAAAAGGCATTTTTCCTTCTTTAAGCTCCTGTAATATGGAAATCTAGTCACATGCCAAAACAGAACTGTTATGTTGTCTGAGGTCTTTAGTTGTTTGTTTGCAATTGCACTTTGAGTTACTGTAGTATTCTCTGCACTGTTGGCAATTTATAGATATGCAACATTTTCATGGATGTACCTGCTGGCTGGGTTTTTCAAAGAAACAGGAATGGCCTTCATTGTTTATGTCTGCGTCAACTTGTTCTTTGGCATCAATACCATCATTACTCACTCGGTTGTATTTCTGCTTTCCCAGGAAAAGGCTACAGACCAGGTAGGAACGCTACTAATACTAAGCCCTTGGTGAAACAACAGGAGGCTTCCTGTTGAGTTTGGTGGGTTTGATCAGGTCCTTAGCAACTGGCTGGCCTCAAGATATTCAAGGTAGACCAAGCAGAGGACACTAGTAGCAGGACTTAATGAGATTCCCTATAGACAGGACATGAGTCAAATATGACTCTTGCTTGTCTGTAAATTTGCATCTCCAGCAGAGACAGACATGATGGTGACAGAGGGGAGAATACAAAAAGAGAGGTAGAAAGCTGGCCGTGCAGAGGAGGGCAGGAGGTGGGCGTAGATGTTTGATAAAAAGTTGATGGGGACTTTGAACCATTGTTAAGTTCTTGCAGCACGAACTGTGGAGAGTGACAACTAGATGTCATTGCCCTGAGTCTGACGTGCTGCATTAAGCCCAGCACCAGCTGTCTGTCATCTAGATCTGTAATGCAATCATCTTCTCCCTGCAAGGATGAGAAATGACTCAGACACAGTGATGATTCCCTAAAGTAAAGCCGTCTCTTAAACTGAGATCTCCCTGTGAATCACTGGGATAAAATGTACACCTTATATTTAAGTTTTCTTTTTTTATGAAGGGCAATCAATTACTTTGTGAAACAATAGGTGGGTTGGATTTTTCTTTCTAGCTGGACAATGCTTGTTTAGCAACCCCCTGGACTTTAGGGTTGTGCAATTATGATCAAATCTTGTGTTTTATGGAGATGTTTGTCCAAGGAAATCAGATAGGACAGTTCTCCAGAGGAGCAGGATTGGTGAGTGGGCTGTGCCCTGCAGTGGGCTGGTGCAGCGGCTCTGTAGTTTTGGGAGGCACAGTGTAGCTCAGTAGCAGGATTCAGCTCTGGCTCACAGGTGGGTTTCAGACTGCTGTGTGCACAGGGTGAGGCGGCTGGAGCAGCAGTGAGGGACTGCGCTGGGAACTGGCTGCTGTTTACTATGGGTGATCACAACCTCAGAGCTGCCTGTTGACTTTTCTGACCTTGTGCCTGTGAAACGAGCTGTCTCCAGAGCTCTTTGCTCTCAATTTATCTCTGCTCTGAGACACAAGCAAATCCCAATGTAATTGTTACACTTCAGTCCCACAGTAAAATCTATGAATTTATTCCATGAATAAAAACAGTGACTCTGCTGCTTTTTCGTTTTTTTCAGGGCTTGCATGATCTCGCTGAAAACTTAAGGCATGTGTTCCTTCTGTTCCCACAATTTTGCTTTGGCTATGGCTTGATTGAACTGTCACAGGATCAGGCACTGTTGGGCTTCTTAAAAGCCTATGGAGTGGACTACCCTGACAAAACCTTTGAGCTGGACAAGACCACATCCAAGTTGTTTGCCATGTTTATCCAGGGCACTGTGTTTTTTGCCATTCGTCTTACAGTTCACGACAGGATGATTCAGAGAGTCTGGAACAACATTCTAGAGTAAGTAACATCTGGAGTCTTGCAATGAAAACAAACCAAACCAGTGCTCAGTGGTTTAATTCTGGGCTCTCACACCATCATTGTCAATTATGAAGCCCATAAATTTCAAAGACACTTCGCAAACATGGAGTAAGTTTTCTCTGGCAGCAGTCCCGGTACCTACCAGTAATTAGAGTGTTAACTAATAGAGGTATAGGTTACTGGAGTCCCTCGGTAGTCCTTGCTGGCTGAGACTATGACCCTCGTTTCAGGGCTCTGGGTTTGGTGGGCTGATGTTCAGCTGGTTGGTAAGAGCAGTCGGTCCATAGACAGCTGTTTGAATCTCCCCATCTCCTCTGGCTTGGGTGCACACAGGGAGGAGCAACAACAGCCTTGTCACCTGCATTACAAGTGCGTCCACAAGGCAGGACCTCCTCCAGCTCAGAATACTTGCTGAAAAAGAGAAAAACATTAGGCAGAAAGAGAACATTGGTTTTTTAAATTCCCTAAACAGTGCAAATATCAGGAGAGAATAGAAACTGTCTGTATATCTCTGTATTTTTTGCATGCCCTGGGATCTCATGGGAAGGCTCCTTAGTATCCCAAGCACACAGGCCCACTGCTGTCTGCTTGCCAGAGGGTAAGGTCCCCTCTCTACCCTCCCCATAGGTTCCTGTTTGACAGAGTGCACGGCAAAGCATTGCTTCTGCCACCTGCGGCTGAAGAGGATGGGGACGTCCAGGCAGAGAGGAACCGGGTGGAGTCTGGCAAAGCAGACTTTGATGTGGTGCAGCTCCAGAATCTCACGAAGATCTACCACCTTCCTCACAAACGCATCGTGGCTGTGAA